CTGAACATTTTTGCTTAGTACCCCTGACATGTGTTAGCTAGTAGGTTTTTGAGATACAGTACCCTGGGTGACATCACACGGGGGGCAAGTTAGCAACAGTCTATTTTTAAAATGGTATAACTCCCTTTCTAGTAAAGCAAATTCGATTCTGTAACTTGCAAATGATATAAAAATAGAGTAGTTTAAAACTATGTTGCCATATTTAATAATATATAAATTTTAGTAGGTCTCTACGTATAATTTAATTATCTTTAAAACGTTATAGCTTCTGCTCTAGTAGAGCAAATTTAATTCTGTAATGTGTAAATGGCATATAAATAATGTGTTTTTAAAACTATGTTGCTATATTTAATATTATTATATAAGTTTTAGTAGTTCTTTATAACTTAATCATTTAAAAAACTGTTAAAATTTATTAATTTGTAATTTTAGCCACATTAATAAATGAAATGAAAAATGTCTCAACATAGTTTTAAAAGATTACTTTTTATACATTATTTGCAAATTACAGAATTGAAATTGCTTTACTAGAGTGTGAGTTATAATATTTTAAAAATGCATAGTTTTTATTATAAATTTACAATAATAAATTTTTTCAATAAATTGATCAACAAAATTTTAAAAATCTTTAATAGTGGGCCAATCATATAGTGCTAAGCTATGATAGTAAATCATTTGGAATCTAATACCCCAATGGAACATCATACAAAATACCTTCAGTGAAATGAATGTCTGAAAAATTATATGGACCCAATAAATTGACATGTGGTATTAATAAAATATGTAAGTTGCATAAGTTACGTCAGCTAAAATTTAACGCAGCTCTCCTGTACTACGAATCATATTTCAAAATTAGGTGTAACGTAACACGATCAGGAAGATTCGTTCGTTTTGCCAAAAATCGCTCATATCTCCAAAATCAGCATAAGAAACTACCTTTTGCGCTCTAACAAAAAGTTTTCGATGGGCAATTTTACCATATAAACTATCCCTCTCTAGATCCCAACCCTGACCCTAACCCTAACCTTAACGAATTTTAAGAATTTTGTCTGCGCCGTAAAATAATTTTATTAGAGCAACAAATAATATGTAAAACAATGCATGATCTAAAATATAATACAGGTTACCCTCGTTAATATCAATATCATGTTGATAGTGATATTTATGAAAATCATATTAAAGTTGATATATATGTGTATACATGTTAGCAAAACTATAAAAATCCTCAAAATCTCTCCCAAATCCCAAATTCCAATAGTTTTGACAACATGTATATATATATGGGGAATTTTGATATATAAAAATTTTAAAATTTGTCTTGTGGCTTAGGTTGATATTAACGAGGTTGATATTAACGGGGATCACCTGTATAATGTGATAATAAAGTTTTACATAGTCAAAATTTCATGACATTTGCGAAGCATTACTACTAAAAAATAATAAGGCAGTGTCGCGCCGTGATCATATGAGTTTCCGAATAACGAATCCGTACGTACATAAAAATTTAAATTTTTTTTATACAAATACCATATGGTCTAATATTTTTATCATTTGCTGTAATCCAATATGTGTCATTATTCGCCTTTTTTAAGTCATTGGGATTAACCCTATTCTGAAAAATGACCTTATAATTACAATTCTGATAAGAAAATGACGTAGCATAACATTCAGCTTCTCTAACATCAGGTGTTGAATAAATTCCTTTTCCATACTTAAAACGTTTTCCTTTTGAAAGATCAAACCCATCTTTAGCGATATTCTCAGCCGCATCTTTACGGGTACCATGAAAAGAGACTGGCCAACTATTTTTATCAGTTCCTATCCATGTATTATCACCATACTTTTTAATACTAATTGCAATTCTTTTCCACCCGTAAGGTGGTTTGTATGGTTCATTTCCACGTGTAAGGGTCGGTCCATCTCGTTGATATGTAAAATCATTATCAAATCTAGGGTCTAAATAATCATTAGTCAGGACAAAATAATCAAAAGAACCTCCTATTATCCTATGAGAAACGTGTATAGTATCATTTTGTTTTATATATAAGATTCCAGAGTTCTATGGTCTTCTAATGGTTTACTAGAAAAACTAAGGCTTATCTTTTTGATATTAATGTCAAGCATTGATCGAATTTTCTTTTTCAATTCCAAAACGGTGTCATTTTTGGTAGCATTTACTGCGTAATTTCTATGATAATATATAAAAATTCGAATGGGCTGCATAGGAATTTGAATGGTTTTTTCATCATTTTCAATTTTTTCATTATTATCAACATCAGCAGATTGTTTTTTTATCACCAATTTTTTTGTCATTTTCAATATGTACAGCAAGTTTGTCATTTTTAACATTATGTTCAGCAGGTTCGTCATTTCTCCTACGAGAAACGTGTATAGTATCATCTTGTTTTATCTTGTAAGACTCCAGAGTTCTATGGTCTTCTAATGGCTTACTAGAAAAACTAAGGCTTATCTTCTTGATATCAATGCCAAGCATTGATTGAATTTTCTTTTTCAATCCCAAAACGGTGTTATTTTTGGTAATATTTAATGCATAATTTCTACGATAATATACAAAAATTCGAATGGGTCGCATAGGAATTTGAATGGTTTTTTCAACATCATTTTCAATTTTTTCATTATTATCAACATCAGTAGGTTTGATTGTTTTTTTTGTCATCAATTTTTTCGTCATTTTCAACATCATGTTCAGCAGGTTCGTCATTTTCAATATCATGTTCAGCAGGTTCGTCATTTTCAATATCATGTTCAGCAAGTTTAGCAGATTCGTCATTTTTAACATCATGTTCAGCAAATTTGTCATTTTCAACGTCGTGTTCCGTAGGTTCGTCATTTTTAACGTCGTGTTCCGTAAGTTCGTCATTTTTAACGTCGTGTTCCGTAGGTTCGTCATTTTTAACGTCGTGTTCCGTAGGTTCATCATTTTTAACGTCGTGTTCCGTAGGTTCATCAGTTTTAACATCATGTTCAGCAAATTTGTCATTTTCAACGTCGTGTTCCGTAGGTTCGTCATTTTCAACATCATGTTCAGCAAATTTGTCATTTTCAACGTCGTATTCCGTAGGTTCATCATTTTTAACACCATGTTCAGCAAATTTGTCATTTTCAACGTTGTGTTCCGTAGGTTCGTCATTTTTAAAATCATGTTCAGCAGGTTCACCATTTTCAACATAACATTCTTTTTTTTTACATATTCTTCGTATTGTTTGAAAGTAGGCCGTTGAGCAAATTCACCGTTATCATTGCTTTCCGCTAAGGAATATTTATGAACTAAATCGATGTCTAAAATTTTATTTGGGTCTAACCCTTCTTCTATGCACTCATCGTATGTTTTTACAGGACAATCAATTATAGAAGAAAGTGCGGCGGCGATAAATGGCAACGCGGACTTCATAGTCGAGTGGAAGATTGAGATGCTAAAAAAAATTTCGTGGAATATATACAAAATACTGCATCATAATTAACCAACAGAACTGGCTTTTATCGCTTAGCGTTAGCATATACTCTACGTCTTCTACAAATACAGATAATGAATTCAATATACAGTATAGTAAGGTTTTATTATTATTGTTATTATTATTATTTTTTTAGCCGATCATTGCTCCTAATAATAACATACAAACTTTATATAACTTTCGAAGAAAAAGTGTATCAAATTTATATTAATTGCGCCTTTTTTTAAAATATTGAAGTCTATCACTATTAAATAAAGTGTCCATTATAGCCTTTTTAGAAAGGATAAAAAAAGTCTAAAAAATAAAGTTCATTTATTCAGTGATCACAAAAATCCTCCTGCCGTAATAGTTTACTAGAGTTGGAAGTTGCAACCTTTCATCTCGAAGTTGTAATAATCGTAACAGATGTAATAGTCATAATGGTACGAGTGATACAAATCCAAAAAGGGAAATTAGCCAATCGGAGTACATAAAATGTGATTATCCCGGATCAGCCCGACACGC